GCTCACAGGCTTTTAAGACCCCAGACACTACTCACCAAGGTAGAATGTAGAACACTGTCTTTATAAACTGTGTTATGCCAATTGAGCTAGATGTTCCCTGAGACCATGGTCCCCAGAGCCCTCTGCCCGGCAATTCATTCCCTCAGGGAGTTTGGATGTGTCTGTGGGGCTTCCATAACCTTTCTATTCCAAATTAATTTTATGCTTTTTAAACACATGCTTCTGAAACCAACTTTTTGTTCCATGGGGTTATATTTTGAGTGTCTTTAAAAATGAATAGCCATTACTTCTCCTTTAAGGTATCTCTTTTCTCCACCTTCAAGAAAAGCTTTCTTATTTCCCTGGCATAGCCCAGCTCCTTGATTCTTTCTCAAGTTACTCCACTTCATGCTCTCACACCCCTTCATAAGTGTCTCCCCAACTTGATTCCAGCTGCTCCTGGCCTCTGTTTGCCACCCCCTAATGGACCTCTGGAAACCCTGGTGGCGTAATGGTTAAGAACTACAGCTGCTAACCAAAAGGTTGGCAGTCTGAATTCACCAGGTGCTCCTTGGAAACTCTATGGGCAGTTCTACTCTGTCCTATAGACTTGCTATGAGTCGGAATTGACTTGATGGCAACGGGTTTGGTTTTTTTTTTTTTTTTTAACGGACCTGTGTAGAAAGAGAGGCGCTGTGCTTCCAGGTCTGAGTGTGCTGGAATCTACAGGCATCTGTGTCCCCACTTATCCTGACTACTGTGGTTATAAGGGGCCTCTTCTGAATGCAGACAGCCAGTCAGCCAAGTCGAAATTTATACCAGAAATCTATTACCTAATTTTTAAACAAAATGACATGAAATCAGACTTGAAGATATCAAAAACATGTCTAGTTTGTGATTTAAGCAAGAAAATCCACATTGTTACTGCTTCCACCACAGAATAATTTACTGCAACAAGAGTTCTGGATCTTATGCCAAAAATGAGGTCCTCTAACCAATGTCAAGGTCAATTATCTTGTGGTAGATCCCACAACAAAAGCAGACTATTGTGATTAGAGTCAGAAGCACCACCCAAAGAAGCTGGAAAGCTTCTGGGGATTTCTTAAGGTTAGTTTTTATTTTTTTCTCCCTGTATGTGTGTTTAAATAAACTACCAGAAACTCTGTGTGTGGGCACTGGACATCTTAGAGTAATTTGGGAGACAATGAAAGGAGTGATCAGTTGGGAATGGGCTGTTGCAGGTTTGTTTTGATTTCAGCAGGAGCCATGCTGCAAGGCTGTGCACTTGTGACACTGCAATGATTATCCTAGCCAAGCTCCTTCGGCATGTCACAACCTCCTCTCTTCCCTAATCGCCTTCCCAAACACACTGCCACTAGGCATCTTGCAGTTCTTACTGGGAAAGAAAAGCCCAGGTGACTAAATACAGGAGTACTCACCCTACAGTAAAGAACTGCCTCATTTCCTGTCTCCGAGACCTCATCAGTTGCTTATACTCCCCGATCCGGAGCTTTTTGCCATCAACAATGCAGGTGCGTTTCGGTCGGGGTTTGTATTTATAGTTCGGGTACTTCTCTAAGTGAATCTTGCTTAGCCGGGCCTGCTCTTCATAATAAGGTTGCTTCTCCTGGTTGGACATGGATTTCCAGCGAGACCCTAGACATAAAAACAGCCTTAAGTACCCAAGTGGCCAAGGCAACATATGCCAGGCAAATACAGTTAGAAATATACCTTGCCTTCGCTTCACTCACCTGTGCTCGGCATAATTTCTATTACCACACACCACTGAGTCTTCGGATACTCTTTTAGATTACAGAGCAAAAAATAATTTTGTACATGACGCACCTACTGTATTATTTCTCTCAATAATTTAAAGCTGATGCTACAAGCATAATGCTTTAAAACATATCTTTGCTGCTTGAAGATCTCCTATACCAAGGTCTTCCCCATCATCTGCGTATCTCTCTCAAGAGGATGAAAAATCTAAGCTTCCTAAGCATACTTTCTAGTATGACAGAAGATGCTCAGAAAAAGCAATCTGGTCCCAGAAATTCAAACATCTCTCACACACCAAGCATCTGCAGTGAAGCTAGCCTTTGATAAGATGTCAGTACATGTGGACATTCTTCCATACATAAAACTATTATGTACACTGTGTCCCTGGCCTAGAATAATTTAAAAAACCCTAAACTCTACTTAAGAAGTTGTAGCTTTAGAACCAGAAGGTACTGTTGCAATTATATATACTATTTTCAAGTACTCTAAATTTTCATTCAAAGCTGTACCAATAAAAGTACAAAAAATTTTAATACGGTTTATACAGGAAGAAGGAAAAGTATTCACTTCTGTAATATTGTTTATAAAGAATTATCTAAACACTTGACGAAGAAGGGATGTGTTTTTTTATATGTATCAAATTGCATTTTTGTGTCTTGCTGGTGAATAAAGCAGTAACAGCTGTGCTGACTGGATGTTAGCTATTCTTTAGTGGAGATTTTTCATACATAAACAAATGGAAAAGTTGTACAAATATTCTCTGTAGCCAGCAATATCCTGGTCTGCTTTAATAGCACATCCATCCCTGTTTTTCCTGATTGTTGTGCAAAAGTTGCATAGAAAGTCTACGCAGATAGGCTTCTCTGTGTTCCACTGGCTCCAGACAGCTTAATGCCCCCAGTTAACAGAGAATTCTTGGTACTCTTGAAATGCATGTGCTTAAAAGTTTACATTTTAATGAATACACTTACTATACTACTAATAATTTTTTTTCGCAGAATGCACACCAATAATACGGATTCCCCACAGCTGCCAAAATGGAAACAGAGAGGTTCTATGCCCATTTGAAAGCTTCCTCATGTTGCTACTAAAATAGCAGAAAAAATATAAAAATTTCAGAGTTAGATATCAAACTGTAAGGACAGAGAAACACTGATTTTTTAAAAAATGTCTTCTAATCATAAAAAAAAATATAAAATACATCTAATAGGAACGTTTCAGTTTGAAAGGTATTTAAATTCAAAAGAATAACACTCTTATGCATCTCTCTGAAAATCTGAAAATAAAACCCCACTTAATTGCTAGTGACATTTTTTATCCACCTTGAAATTCAGAAGGTAAAAGGCAAGAAAAAAAGAAAAACCTGGATTTTAACATTAACACCACTATTCAATCTTATGTGTGTTTTAAATTTTCTTAGAGGTCAGTGCTCAATGTCTCAAAATCAAGTTAAATTATTTACACAGTGACAAAACATGTGTATTTGTGTATGTTCAGATCACTGATATTTATTCAGGTTAAATATTTATTGCTTCTGAACAAAACATTTAAAAAATTAAAACCGCAGTTTAAGTCTCTAATGTTTTTTAGCTTCTTAAATGGCTTCCTTTGAGATTTTGTCACATCATGACAGCTTAAGTAGAACAGTGCCTTCTGTGTTTTTTCTTTTTAAAGAGACAACATGTTGACCGTCATGCTGCATGTTGAATAAAATATGTTCAATATGTTGAGCATAATAATTCCAAACTGTATAGTCTGCACTAGGCAAGCTTTATACCAATAGAACAAGGCTTGAGTTTAATCTCGAGAAACAGGAGACTCACTCTGGCAATTTACCACAGAATGGGCCTCTGCCCTGTGGTCTATGTGTTCAACTCACTGCTATGAAATCTGAACTAGTCATATCTTATTAAAGTGAACGTAGCTTTATTTTATAAGTTTTAAAGTTATCTTTAGAGGCACTGTTCTACACTCCATGAATTTCACACCCTTTTTGGGTTTACTCCAGGTCCTTGATGAGTTCTTTCAGTGGGACACATGAACCCAAGCATACTAAAGCAGAAAACTGTAAGGTCTATGAGTGTTTCCAACGACTTTGTAGCAACTTAATATTTTAAGACGACAATAAGAAAAAAATATAGAGCTTGTCTCCATGATTGCTGTTTATCGGTAACCTCTCCGAGATGCCAAATACACAGTATTAACACATACTATAAATAATTTTGGCTCTCAAATAAGTTTTTAGCCAGCCCTGCCCTGGCACCTGGTGGATGTAATAATCTCCTAACTCTAAACGTCATAGTTGAGGTTGGGGAGTGCACAGATAACAAAGACTTCAGGCCTCCTGGAGCAGCTGACCGAATTACATTTAACTTCTGCAAATCACAATCTCGTTTAGGAGCCTAATTATGCCCTTGCTTTCCACTCCCGGGGGCATTCATGGGGTAGAAAATCAGCATCAGTTGCTGTACTCACCTAAGATTTTGCTAATGTTGGAGTTATGCATGTCGGGGAAGGCCTGCAGGATTTTCCTCCTCTCGTCCTTTGCCCAAACCATAAATGCGTTCATTGGTCGCTTGATGTGTGGCTCACTGCTTGCACGGCCGCGGGCATCCCTGTAGACTCGTGCTTCAGCCACAGTGGCACCTCCTGTTGGCCAACAATAATACTGCTGTAGTTTAGCTGCAGAGCCATTCATTGCTTTACTTCCTGTAATGTCAGGGCAGGAAGAACAAGATGGGTGCAAAGCATTATTATCTGGATAATGCAAGACAGCTTGCTGCCTGGTTCAGCTGTTTTCCCTCGGCCCTTGTCTTCTATTTCTAAGTGACCTCTTGGAAGCAGAATACAGTTTCAAATGATCGTTCTACAGGCCCTGCTGATGTAGGTCTCAAAGACAGACAGGGAAGAATTAATTTTGCATGTTTTCATAGACCTAGCACATTTACTAAGGAGCCCTGGTGGCGCAGTGGTTAAGTGCGAGGCTGTGAACTGAAAGGTCAGCAGTTTGAACCCACCAGTCACTCCACAGGAGAAAGATGTGGTGGTCTGCTTCCATACAGATTACAGCCTTGGAAACCCTATGGGGCAGTTGTACTCTGTCCTATAGGGTCACTATGACTCGATGGCAATGGGTTTAGCATATTTACTATAATCAATTCCATGTGATGATAAAGCATTGACTGGTATTATTTTATGGTAAACTTGCCTGCCATAATTCCTTCCTTCAAAAGCTGACCCTTAATCTATCATTTTAGCCTCATTCGCCAAAACTCCCAGCCACTTCAAACTATACCTTTCCCCACATTTTCATAACATTGTGCCTTGTCTCATGCTCTTCTCACTGCCTGGAAGACCCTTCTCCTACTTCACAACACTACATCCCACTCATCCTTCAGCTCCTAGTCAAATTATTGGTGGGTTTCATTAATTAATTCAATGAAAAATATTAATTGAGCAATTACTACGAGCTAGGCTTTGTGCCAGTTGTTAGAGATACAGAGATGAATAAAACAGCCACTGTTTTTAAGGCACTCAGAGTTCAGAGGGGAGACAGACCCTGAACAGACAATTATAACAGAGTGCTGTAAGTGCTGCAACATTGAAGTAAACAGGGTGCCAAGAGAGCACTTTGCTTGTGCTTACTTACTAATCTGTAATGCACCCATGAGAAACCGTGGACTACAGATTAGTAACTAAGCACAACTAAGCGCATGCACGCCTTGCTTATTGTAAGCAGGTGCATACCATGTTTACTGGTTAATCTGCCCCTGTCCATAGTAATTACTTGTTTATGTGACTATCTCCATCTAATCTTTCTACCCCATTCCCAGGAATATGAGATCCTTAAAGTTAGTGATTATGTTGTACTTATTCTTGTATTTTGGATAACTCACATAATAGATATTCAATAAATATTTATTAAGTAAAAGATTGTTTGGTTTTTAACTTATATGCAAAAGTAGTAAACTAAGAGGTATTCATTTCCAGAATCCTGATATATTTTCCCGTTGTTTAAAGTTAGTTCTTCAACATCCTCCTATGAAACTATGTCTAAATTCCTTATACTGTATAGTTTCATAAGAGCTGGCTCTAGTAACAGAGTAAATTGAAAGCTCCTTGAGGGTAGGGACTGACTCTTGTATACTGCTGTATGCCTAGGATCCAGTAAAGTATATGGCATGCAGTTACAGTTAGGAAAACATGTTAAATAAATTAATGAATGATTGAATGAATAAATGGAGCTCTTTCTGTATTTTCATGCACCCTATCAGTATGACACATGGATGTGTGGTTTGCAATGTGGTATCTACTGAATATCTCCCTATACACTGAAAACTTCTATAGCTAAATACAATGTGGTTGGATTGATGGCCTCAGCCAAGCTTAACTGCCTAAACAGGAAAGCCTACCCTCCAAAGTTTAGAATCAAAATATAAGTTAAAACTAAGATTTTAACTTTCTGGAAAAAAGTAAATCCTTTCAGCTCAGTGGAGTTATTATACAGAACAACATGACACAATCAATCTTTGGCCCTTCTACTCTATTTCTAGATATCTTGATTAAGTAGGAATTTGTTTGTGTCAAGGCTAGTAATAAATTAGAACATTAAAATGCACTATTATTTGGCAAATATGGGCATCATTTATTGCAAAGAAAAGACAGGATTAAAGGGCCAAACTGGCTAATATTGTGAATTCTTTTCTAAACTTGAAAGGGGGTGAGGTGAACCACTCTCTGAAGATCTACAAAAATAACATATTTTATAAACAGTCCTTCTTTTAGGCCTACTTGACAAAACAATTCCTTATATGAAAATCTCAGATCCCAGGATGCATAACTAATATGCTACCTTTTTGCCACCATACCCACAGTACATTAATTTCATTTAAAATTCACTGACCATACAGGATAAATTGATTTCACTTTATACGGCTTTGACAGCCATGTATATTGTGCAGTGAAATGTAGTGTAGCTTCCAGCTGACAATATCCATCAACACAGGGCAATATGCTGACTGCTGGGCCAGATGAAGGCATACATTACTCTGGAAGTGAAACACTCATTCAGATACAACAGTGTCTTCTCCTGAGGATCACCATGGTAATTTATGAGGCCCTCAGTGCCATTACTTTACAAACTGACATGGATTCAGCAATTTATATACTTGCATGCCTACACATAAAAGCAGACAGGTTTGTGGAGAATGTCAGATGCAAAAACATTTCAATATTATTCTAAGTTAACTACTATGCCACAGGTGATTAACATTTGAGATCTGGTTTTACTGTCATAACTTTCTCTCCACCTCTGGCAAAACCAAATAGTCAACTTCTATTTATTTATCCACTTAAAATATGTATTTCATTGTGAACAGTAAATTTTAATCTCCTAGAGACTAACAGGGATCATGGTGGATTTTTAGACTCTGGTTTTAGTATAGAGAAACATTCTATATTCTCTACTCCATACTGATGGAGTCCCTCAGCTATGTCTTACACCTGTCCAATTCCCATTTTCCTCTTCTGTTATTCTGCCCTCTTAGCATATATTTTCTACTCTTCGTTTCTACCAAATTCTACCCTTTTCCCAGGAGCAGAGCTCAGGACCCACCTCCACTAACTTCCTACACTGATCTTGCCCCTCCCTTCCATGTACATATTATCTATACCACACTGATTGACACTGAATTAATTACACAGCACATCTCTAGAATTCACAAGGAATGCACCCAGAAATTGACAAATTCAACCACAGTGCATAGTATAGAAATGAGACTAAGGAAGGGAAAAAGAGAAAATACTCTAGGACATGTTCATATCTCCTCCTTTTCCTTGCCTCCTCTTCTCCCTTGCAGGAAGAATGAAATGAAAAAAGAATGAGGACATGCTAAGCTAAACTAGGAATGTTGTATAAAAATAAACCAAGATTCAGGAAGAAGAAGAGACTTACTCAGGAAGAGTAAAGTTTGAAACCACCTTTAAAATTGTGCCTGACATCTTATCAAGCATCAGCTATAGCAATGACTCTTAATAGTACACAGATTTGTAGTACCCAAGGCCCTTTGCAAAATCATAACTGGGACAATGTTTTACCTCATCCACTTGTTCTCATTTTTACATCCTTTCTCACTTATCTTCCAAATATGTAGTACTCTCAGGCTACCTTATGACTATTTAAACTAAGCCCAGGATGCCACTCTCCTTCTTAACTAGACAGTCAATAAACAACTATAACAACAAATCAGCTTTGCAATGAAAATGTACTCTTGCTTAAACCCCATTGCCATCCAGTTGATTCCAACTCATAGCAAACCTCTAGGACAGAGTAGAACTTCCTCACAGGGTTTCCAAGACTGTAATCTTTAAGGAAGCAGATTGCCACATTTCTCTCTAGTGGAGCATCTGGAGGGTTTGAACCACTGACCTTTTAGTTAGCAGCCTAGCACTTAACCACTGCACCACCATGAACCCTTTTGCTTTAGTCACTACCACTAGAATCTTGGAAAGTAGCTATATCCTTCCCTGGGATTATAATACCTGAGTTGTCACCTGGGGTTTGTACAGCAACTATAATACTATAAACCAGAATTTCCTCACAAAGAAATGTTGAGGGTTTCCTCTATTCTGTATTCTTGAGGGCAGTGACTATGCCATGCCATATACAGCTTATATGGAATTCAGAGAAGCATCTGGATGAGTATTATGCAGAAAGTTGCTTTTCAACAAATATTTGATAGAAAATAGTTCCCAAAATTACTTCCTTTTTCATTGAAAACTGACAATGCATCAGCTTGAATTCACAATCTGGGTACTAGTTAATCTTGGAATCAGAATTTTAAGAAAGTATCAGGAGGCCACAAAGTCAAAGCACATTTATAAAGTGTCCCTAAATTTCCCTAAACTTTGCTCTGTAAAACAAAATGATCAGGGAAATGCTGCAAAATTGCAGCAACTGAAATACATATGACTGTATACATGTGTATAAATTTAGAAATTTAAAAATGAAAATTTCGTATTTTGAAAGCCCTTTTAAACAGATAAGGAAAATTCTATAGAAGACTATAGATTTGTTTAAAATAATTATTCTGTTACTCTGTGTATCTGAAACCTAAAATTCACTTTCTGTTATCATTTAAAAATGTACTATCAACTGTGTCTTCATACTGCTTCATTCATTTTAGAAAATAACATCGTTTGTTTTTTTTTTTAAGCACTTCATCCTAAAATAGCCACGGCTCCATGTCAGAATCCAGATTTGTCCTAGAGAATGTCTCATAATTCTCTGAGGCACCTTCTTTCCCTTTTAATAGCAGAGGAATCATTCTTGAGTTCAATGTTAATGATATGACTTCTCTAGGAAAGCAATTGGAAGAAGTCGAGGCCCACAGCTGTGTACCTGGAGACTAGTGCTTTCCAGCTGAACTCAGAGTCTTTTATTACTAGTGACTCCTTTCAACAGTGGTCTTAAAATATGGCTACTGAAAAGCCAGGAGGTTAACAGCACCACACTAGGCACCAAAGGAAAGTGCCGTTTCCCTGTACTCTAGGAACTCCTGCACTAAACTTCCCCTACAAGGCTCAAATTGGCTAATTCATCCTTCATCTCCCAAATCACTGTTTGTATAAAGGGTGAACTTTTAGAAGAAGAAAGACAGTTCATCAATGGAGAGAAGATAGAAATTGCCCAGGCAAAGACCTCCTTAGGA